CCTACCTACTAACCTCATCCTGCCCCCTTGACCTGTCCGTCCTCCCTGGACTGACCTATCCCCTCCCTAACTCCCCACCTACACTCACCTTTACTAGCTCCATCCCCGCCTCTTTGACCAGTCTATTTCCTCTCCACCTATCTTCTCCTCCATCCATCTTCTATCCGCCTCCCCCTCTCACCCCATTTATTTCAGAACCCCTGTCCCCTCCCCCATTTCTGAAGAAGGGTCTAGGCCCGAAACGTCCGCTTTCCTGCTCCTCCGATGCTGCTTGGCCTGCTGTGTTCATCCAGTTCTACACCTTGTTATCTTGCAGTGATGCCTACAGGATAACACACTTTACATTTCCAAGCACCACAGCCTCCATTAACCTTTCAGTTTGAATTAGGTAATGTTTGGACTTCTTTAAAGTTATAGCCTTGCTTCTTCATGGCTTTACTAGACTTGTTTAGCGTGACATACTAGGGTATTTCGTGCTTTGGACTTATCCTTAGATAGTGCAATTATTACTTGAGGGTTAATCAAATGTTATTACCAGAATTCAGTTTAATCTATGAACTTGCTTTAAATGGAAAGATATTGCAATCTTGTACACAGGGCATTTGCTTATTACATTGTATTGCTTCTCCAAGCTTATCAGATGCTGCTTCAAACTCCCTTAATTCTGGTTCTTCAAGGACTTGGATGAGATTTGAATATGATTACATTTGTGTTTTCAGATGTTCCAAGTCCTCAGTATTGAAAGACCTGAAAGACCACTTTATGTTCAAGCCGGCAACTGTGTGGAGGCCAATGAATGGATTGAGATAATCACCAGGGTGAGCCGTAGCAATCCCGAGAGGCTGCATGTTTACCATCCTTGTGCTTTTATATCTGGAAGCTGGATCTGTTGCAAAAATACAGATGAGAAAGCTGCTGGTTGCACAAGCTGTACTGGGTGAGTCATTCCCTGAGTGGAAAACATTATCTCTGCCATGTTCTCTTTAAGAATGCAGGCTGATTCCAAGCAAAAGCAGTAAATAATGGTTAAACACAACTTGTCTGTAAAAGCACCTACAAATTTGCGGTAAAGCACTAAGTAAAATAAGTTTTAATGCGTTTGTCACTGGTGTCACTTATCTGGTATCCAGTTTGGAACATGCCTCCAGTATACAATGTAACCCAACTCTTAGTGCTTGCAAAATATAAAAAAATACATTGTTAATTAAATCTGAGTTTTGCTTCCCTAATTTTTAGTTATATTTACAAATGTATGTTTATGGCTTGTTATCTGATAAATAAGTATTTCTACAAAATAAGATCTTAATAAGCTAGGTTGTTAGGAAACTCAATTCTGAATACTATCCCAAATTACACTTGGCAAAGGTTCTTCTACATGTACTTTTGACCCCATCTACTCTAGTAAATAAGCAGTCATAGTAATAAGATCTGAGTAGTTCTGCTATATTCTATCAATGCAATATAATCTATTAAACCCAAATGTGGGAGTGATGCTAAATTGAAGAAAAGTGGTGTAACAGATTTGTTCAAGTCATACATCACTAATCTTTCTGTAATGCCTAATTCTAATACCATCAACCCATTATGTGCTTGCATGTGTAGTTCAATTCAAGTTGCTTTTCATTTGAGATAGGGTTAAGATTAAGTATAGTTCATAGAACATAAAACAGTACAGCACTGTACAGGCCCTTCGGCCCACGATGTTGTGCCAACCTATTATCCTACAAAGATCAAACTACCCTTCATACCCTACATTATACTATCATCCATGTGCCTATCCAAAAGTCGCTTAAAAGTCTCTAATGTATCTGACTCCACTACCACTGCCAGCACCATGCGCCCACCACCCTCTGTAAAGAACCTACCTCTGACATCTCCCCTATACCTTCCTCCAATCACCTTAAAATTGTGCCCCTCGTAATAGTCATTTCCACCCTGGGAAAAAGTCTCTGGGTATCCACTCTATCCATGCCTCTCATCATCTTGTACACTTTTATCAAGTCACCTCTCATCCTCCTTCGCTCCAATGAAAAAAGCCCTAGCTCCCTCAACCTTTCCTCGCAAGACCTGCCCTCCAGTCCAGGCAGTATCCTGATAAATCTCCTTGGCACCCCCTCGAAAGCTTCCACATCCTTCCTATAATGAGGCGACCAGAACAGAACACAATATTCCAAGTGTGGTCTAACCAGAGTTTTATAGAGCTGCAGCATAATCTCACGGCTCTTAAACTCAATTCCCCTACCAATTAAAGCCAACACACCATACGCCTTCTTTACAACTCTACCAACTTGGATAGCAACTTTGCGGGATCTATGGACATGGACCCCAAGATCTCTCTGTTCCTCCACATTGCCAAGAATCCTGTCATTAACCCTGTATTCTGCATTCAAATTCGACCTTCACAATCTTCTGGGTTGAATTCCATCTGCCACTTCTTTGCCCGGCTCTGCATCCTGACAATGTCCCGTTGCAACCTACAACAGCCCTCCACACTATTCACAACTCCACTAACCTTCGCGTCATCAGCAAACTTACTAACCCACCCTTCCACTTCCTCATCCAAATCATTTATAAAGATCACAAAGACCAGAGGTCCCAGAACAGATCCCTGCAGAACACCACTGGTCACCGAGCTCCAGTCTGAATACTTTCCATCTGCTACCTCCCCGTCAAAATCATTTACTCAAAAATATCTGAAGCAATATTTTCAATTTAACAAACTTAACAGCCTGTTTCCTGTGTTAGTTCTACTACTGTTTTTCTCTTTGCCTCTAGGGGTTCTCCAGCAAATATCCAGTTAGCTATTGACTGTGACCGGGAAGCTGAAAGGATATTTTCACTGTTTCGTGCCAACCTGCCCAGGCTACAGAAAATGGAAGGTTAGTTTCCAAGATGTCCCAATGAATAATGTGACTTCATTTTTGGCTTCAGTTTTATATTTTAAATTCAACTGGAAAACATTATTTTACATGTGACCTATAAGGTCATAATGGACTCTTTTGTTTGTAAATGAAGATCTGTGATGTGGAAAGATATGTTACTGTGTTGACACTATCTTTTAGGGAAACTAGTGAACTCTCATAATGGAGAGAATGTGAAAATTGCTGGTGTCTTCACTTCATCTATGCTTTCTTCCTTATGCTGACATTTCTCCATAGATGCTTGTGGGAGTATAGATGTGTATCAAGGTCCTCAACTGGAACAAGATGAATACGCCCACTTTACTATTGAAGATTCAAGAGTCACCTTTAAAACTCTTCAACAAATAATCACGGTCGTGAATACTTTGGCTACATTTCACGAACAGTATCGAATTAAAAGGTCAACAAGTGCGATATATGGCAGCGAGTAAGTATTGGTTTAATTTATTGTGACTTTTTTTGATCACTTCTTAGGATCAGTTTATTGGAAAGGTTAGCATTTATTTCCCATCCCTTTCCCTTCATAAAACAAGGGGTATGGAGAGAAAGTGGGAATGGGATACTGAGATTGCGTGATCAGCCATGATCATATTGAATGGTGGTGCAGGCTCAAAGGGCCGAATGGCCTAATCCTGAACCTTTTCTCTGTTTCTATCATCCCAGGGATTAGTTTGGTGAACTTCTGTTGAACTTGCCCAATGGCAAGTATGTCTATCCTTAAATTATATGCACTACTTCTGGTATACTGTCACCAGGGCCCCATACAATTGCAGAAAGATTGTTTTAATTCTGTGCTGCATTCCCCCTTTGAACACCAACATGCCATTTTCTGCCTTTATTGATTGTTGCACCTGCATGTTAGTTTTAGTGACACATGGTCAGGGATACCAAAGTCCATTTGGACACCTGCATTTCCCAACCCCTTATCATTTAATAAACATTTTGTGTTTCTCATCTTTCTACCAAAGTGGATAATTGCGCACCTCATATTCCATCTGCCAAGACATTGCCCATTCAATTCACCTGTCCAAATCCACTTGAAGCCTCCTTGCACCTTCATTCCAACTTACATTCCCGTCCTAATTTTGTGTCATCATCAAATTCAAGAATATTAGAATTGGTTGCCATAGCCAAATCAAATAAATTGATGGTGAATTACTATGGCCCTAGCATTGGTCCTTGTGGCACCCCACTAACAGCTCCCAGCATTCTGAGAATTATTTATTTCTACACTGCTTTGTCCAATTCTCAACCCCATGAGCTCTATTTTTGCTTAATTAACCTCCTCTATGAGACTTTATTAAAAACCTTCTGAAGATCCAAACCCTGCCCCCACCATCCACTGGCTGTCTTTTCTGAATGCTATTAGTAACATCCACAAAAATCTTCAAGTTTTGTCAAACATGATTGCCTTTTGTAAGTCCATGTTGACTCTGCGCAATTTCATCATTATTTTCTGTCACTAAATATCATATTCTTTATAATAGATTATAACATTTGCCCTATTACTAATGTCCAAACTAACAAGGTCTGTACTTCTCCAATTTACATCCTTTCTCTCTCTTCCTCCCTTCTTAAATAACCGAGTTATATTTGCTGATTTCCAGTCTGTACGAACACTATATGTTCTGAGATGTAGCTCATCTGGTCAAAGGATTTTATCAACCTTTAACCAAATAACTTGCCAAGTACTACCTACATGAAAAGAAATTAGTTTTTAGTTCTTCAGTTTTTCAACTTCCTGGTTGTATTGTATTTGTGGGAGATTTTCAGTGTCATCATGAACACAAAGTAATTTAGTTTCTCTGCCATTTGCCTTCTCCATTATAAATTTCCTACAATGGGCCCATATTTATCCAAGCTAATCTTTTCTTTTTTACATGCCTAAAGAAGCTTTTAGAGATCACATTTGTTTCTTTGTAGCTTGCATTCATAACCTTGTTTCTTTTTTAGATTCAAACAGCACAGAAACAGACCCTTCAATTCCAACCAGTCCATGCCGACCATGTTTCCAAACTAAACTCGTCCCACTTGCCTACGTTGGCCCATATCCCTACAAACCTTTCCTATTCATGAACTTATCCAGATGTCTTTTGTAACTGTGCCTGTATCTGCCACTTCCTCTGGCAGTTCATTCAACGCATGAACCGCTGTGTTTTAAAATAGTTTCAGGTTCATAATTCCTTGAACGTGGAGTCACAGTAAATAGGGTAGTGAAGATGATGTTTGGTACGCTTGCCTTTATTGGTCAGTGCATTGAGAATAGGAGTCCGGATGTCATGTTGCAGCTGTACAGGTCATTGATTAGGTCACTTTTGGAACACTGTTCACTTCTGGTCTCCATGCTATTGGATAGATGTGGTTAAACTTGAAACTGGTGCAGAAAAGATTTACAGGGATGTTCCCAGGGTTGGATGGAGGCTGGATAGGCTGAGGCTATTTTCTCTGAAGCTTCGGAGGCCAAAGGGTGGCCTTATAGAGGTTTATAAAATCATGAGGGGCGTGGATGGAGTGAATAGCCAAGGTCTTTTTCCCTAGGATGGGATTTCCAAAATTAAAGGGCATAGGTTTAAGGGGAGAGGGGAAAGATTTAAAAAGGACCTGAGGGGCAACATTTTCACACTGAGTTTGGTGCATGTATGAAATGAGCTGCCAAAGGAAGTGGTGAAAGCTGGTACAATTACAACATTTAAAAGGAATCTGGATGGGTATATGAATAGGAAGAATTTAGAGGGGTATGGGCCAAATGCTGGCAAATGGGACTAGATTAATTTAGGATATCTGGACGGCATGGACGAGTTGGACCAAAGGGTTTGTTTCCATGCTGTACATCTCTCAACTCTGACTTTGACTCCCACTTACCAACTGTCCCTTTACCTATGAATGGCCTCTCCCAACCAACTTTTGAAAGTTCTTGCCTAATACTGTCAAAATTGGCATTGCTCCAATTTAGAACTTTAACTTTTAGATCTGGCCTATTTTTCCATAATTATTTTAAAACTGATAGAATTACGATCACTGGCCCCAAAGTGCTCCCCCACTGATACCTCTGTCACTTGCCCTGCCTTATTTCCCAAGAGAAGGTCAAGTTCTGCTCCAATAGGAACATTTTCTTGTACATAACTTAACAAATTCTTCTCCATCCAAGCCCTGAAGACCATGGCAATCCTAGTGTATGTTTGGAAAGTTAAAATCCCCTACCAGTACAACCCTATTATTCTTATAGATGTGAGATCTCCTTACAAATTTGCTTCTCCATTTCCTGTTTACTACAAGAGAGGCATATAGTACAATCCCAAAAAGGTGCTCATCCCTGTATTTTTCAGTTTTTTATTAACTGTTTCTTGATCATACTTTGCTGGATTCTAAATTGTTGCCAATTTTCATGCTTATCACTTCTTCTGGCATCCTTATAAACTTCTTCCTTTGATTTAAAACATTATTTATGCTGTTTTGTTAGCCATAGTTGATTTACTTTTCCTAGTGTGTGTTTATGCCTTAGAGTGTGTATATCTTTTGCAGACCACCTAGAACTACTTTAAATACTAGCTATTGCCTGGCTACGATCAAATCCTATTGTGTGTTTATCCCAATTCATTATTGTCAGCTTGGCTCTCGCACCTTCTTAGTTTCCCTTCTTCAGATTTAGGATCTTTGTTTAACATTCAAATTTAATGTGAAATTCTATTGCATTGTAGACATTATTTATTAAAGGCTCCTTTACAGCAAGATTATTAACTAGCTTTTTCTCATTATATACTGCTCCAGAAGCCCATTGTACACATACTCCAGGAACAACTCTTGACAGCAATCATGCTGATTGGCTTTGCGCAATCCATGTACATGTCACTCATTATTACTGAATTACCCATATTATGTGCATCTTTAATTTCCTGATTTATATTGTGCCCAGCATTACCACCACTGTTTAGTGACCTATAAACAATTCCCACCAATGTCTGACCCAAACTGATTCTACATCTCAATCATTTGATATGAGATCTTGCTCACTCGTACTGATCTCGTCCTGTATTGAGGACGACTCTATTTCCTTTTCCTTTTTGCCTATCCTTCCTAAATGATCTTTGAATATTCAGTTCTCAGTCTATGTAGAGACAATTAAATACCTTGATTTGTGTCTTTAAATCATCAGTTTCACTGTGAATGCTGAGTGCAGCTTTCTTCTCTGTAAAGTAACAAGGAATTTCAGAAAGCTGTCATCCTACGATTTTTTTATTTGTTACAGAGAAAATCCTATAGGAGCAAAATAATCCCAACTGAAGATGGAACATTGTAACTGCTGAAGCTATACAGGAAATGCCTCTGGAAATTACTTATTCTTTTTGTCATTCCTATATTGGTGTAAGTATTGGAGAGGCTGGTCTTCGGTAGACATACAGAATGTTTTACTGATGACTAACATTTATGTGAAATCCACAAAAGAGTTCAATGCACTTTAATCATCTGAACTTTCCCAGGTGATCTTAATTTATACATTTTTTAAAAACTGATATTAGTATCAATTTAATCAGATCAGTTGAATGATCCGTTTGGTTATAACGTGGTTATTCATTGTGTCCGTTCTGTGTGTTTCATTTAATTTTTGCTGTGTGACACATCTGAGGAGCTGCCTGAATTTTCTTAATTCGCATGTTTTTATGCAGTTTAATTTTTGTTTTATCTTTTAGTGAAAAATGAACCAAGTGGAAGCTGTTAAATATTCATTCTAATACCCCAAGAGTCTGTCATTTCTGCTGATCGCCAGAATTATCCAGATTATATTCCATCGTAATTGTAATGCCCTTTTAAGTTTTCATTACATGGTTTTTTTCAGTGCTCCTCCTGTAGGCTGTGAGCAGGTTGAGCCTTGTTATTTCCTGCATATGCTGCTATTCAGAGTTGAATATCACGCCATATCATTGCTATCATCTCAGAAGATTGTAGCTTTAATGATTACTTGAATATTTTTGACCGTAGCATCAAGAACATAATAATATTTTCTAGATGTTAATAGCCTGGATGATATGCAAAACAAAGCTTATAGTATTTCATCTGAAAAATTGGATTTTAATTGTAAAGATAACTTCATATTTCCAGGTGCATCAATAAACAAGGGTACTAATGGAAGAATGCAGGTTTATGGTGGGATATTTTTATTTCAGTCATCATAATAGTTGGTAAATTATAAAATAAGCATACACGAAAGATACACTTTTTTGTGTCCACTAACATCCAGCAATTTGTGTGTCATGTAAATTTCCCAAAGGCCATGATCGATGCTGGTGTGTAGGTGTACAACTCTCCAGCACTGTTCATCCAAATGAACATTCTTGTATTGCAACCCTTATAATTTTAACTGTTGTTTTAATGTAACCTGCCTATTTCCCTGAAGAGTTTCAAAATTTAGGTTATATGCAGTGAGGCCCAAAAGTTTTAAGTCCCCTTCCAACAGAATTGAAATAATAAAAAGTCCCTGTTTCCTTGTTATGCACAGGTATGTTGACTGTTTTTACCTCCCCTTCCCCCTTTGTGATTAAAAACTTTTTGATACTGTTCAGTACTTGCTGGTTTCCCAATAAAATTCACATTGCTATTTTATCATTCGCTTAAAAAACACCTGTTGGTTGACAGTTGATTCAGTCTTTTCATTTGGTTGGGGACATTCTCACAGTAAAATCCAAACTCATAACTTTCTTGTGCATAATTCCTGTATGTTGGCAGGATAGATCTTCAAGGTAGACACACAGCTAAGCCCAATGTCACCTCCTGACATATGGAACGAGAATAATTGATTTTGTTTAGAGGCATTTTTCTTTCATCTCCCAGTTACACTCTATAGCTTCTTCCTTACAGTAGAGACTAGTTGGTGTTCCAACCAGCTAGCGTCAGTCAACTCAATGACATTAAAGTTCACACCTGTCTAGATTGTAGCAGATATGTGGGAGCACCATCACTTGCAAATTCCCCTCCAAGGCACTCCCATCTTGATTTGGAAATATATCACTATTCCTTCACTGTCGCTGGGTCAAAATCTTGGAATTCCCTCCCTAATGGTATCATGAGTCAACCCACAGCAGGTGGACTGCAGTGGTTCAGAAGGCAGCTAACCACCACCTTCTCAAGGGCAACTAGGGATGGGCGATAAGTGCTGGCCCAGATCCCACTTTTTTTTTTAATTTGGTATTTTCACTGTGCATTTCGATGACTCCCACAGCATTTAAATTTAAATCTACCTGTTAGGTACTTAAAATATTGGGAAACTGTTAGCAAAGAAATTGTGATTACTGTTTGCCATTTGGTATGGATAGTGGCAATAAGATGTTTTATTGTTTGAGCAGAACAGTTTGACAAACATGAATTTTTGAAGTGACTGATCTGAACATTTGGTCTTGCCTGTCTTGAATAATTGAAGAATACATTATAGATTGTTTAATTAAGAAAAGTGACAAATAAACACTCCCCAAAGAACGCAACATTCAGTAAATGAGATGTGGTTTTTCATACTTGATTGTCAGCGCTAATTAGTATCTCAATGAATGAAACAATGATTCGTGATCATATGATTGCTCAAGAACATCTACAAAACAATTTGGTACATGAGTAGACATTTTCCAAAAAGGTCTGCTCGGAATTTGGATGTTTATAGTTTATGCTCTTTTAATGAATATTTTAGTGTGTATATGTTGAAAAGCCAAACTGTTGTATTATTTTGTATATTAGCTTTACTGTCTCAAAAAGCTGTACTTTTTTAATGTTTCAGCACTTGTTTATCTGCATGTTAGTGTTTTAGGAATGTATTTTTATTTAAATTTTATTTTCGTATCAAAATATTAAAACATGACTTTGAAATTTAATCTGTGTATTGACCTATAAGTGCAAATATTTTTGAGAAAAACTGTGCACATCCAAATTAGGAGCATGAGTGTCCTGTCTATTCAATATCATAATGGCTGATCTAATCTTAGCCATAATGCATTGCTGCCTAACCCAATAACCTTTCACGCCTTCTGGCTTACCCACTTCTGTCTGTCAAATATTCAAAGATTCTGCTTCTACCACCTTTTTGAGGTAACTCAACAAGACTCCTGACAGCACATTCCAAATACATAACCTCTACAATCTCAAGCATAACAGGAACAAAAATGAATTTGCTGGAAAAGCTCAGCAGGTCTGGCAGCATCTGTGAAGGAAAAAACAGAGTTAACGTTTCAGGTCTGGTGACCCTTCCTCAGAACTGATTGTGGCTGGGAAGACGTCAGTTTATTTTCTGCATATAAACTGACGTTTTCCCAGCCACAATCAGTTCTGAGGAAGGGTCACCGGACCGTGGCTGGGAAAACGTCAGTTTATATGCAGAAAATAAACTGACGTTTTCCCAGCCACTATCAGTTCTGAGGAAGGGTCACCGGACCTGAAACGTTAACTCTGTTTTTTCCTTCACAGATGCTGCCAGACCTGCTGAGCTTTTCCAGCAAATTGGTTTTTGTTCCTGATTTACAGCATCCTCAGTTCTTTCAGGTTTTATTTACAATCTCAAGCATGCTTGACAAATCTACTGGAATTTTTTTGAGGCTGTAATAAGTAGAGTCATTAAGAGGGAGTCAGTGAATGTGGTTTACTTGAACTATCAGAAAGCTTTCAGTAAGGTTTCAGATAAGAGGTCAACATATACAGTTACAGAGCAGGGAATCGGGGCAATGTCCTGACATGGATGGATAACTGGTTGGCAGACAAGAAGCAAACAATAGGAATAAACAGGTCTTTTGCCAGATAGGGTACCAGAGGGATCAATGCTTGGACCCCAGCAATTCACAGTACAAATGATTTAGATAGGGAACTGAATATAGTATCTGTAGGTTCGTTGACAATGCAAAGCTGGGTGGGAGGCTGAGCTCTGAGTAAGATGCAGATATATACATAGAACATAGAACGGTACAGCACAGTACAGGCCCTTCGGCCCATGATGTTCTGCCGACCTATTAGCCTACTCTAAAATCAAAGCTAACCTGCATACCCTTCCTTTTGCCATCATCCATGTGCCTATCCAAGAGTCACTTAAATGTCCCTAATGTATCTGACTCTATACCACCGCTGGCAGTACTTTCCATGCACCCACAACTGTGTAAAGAACCTATCTCTGACATCTCCCCTATACCTTCCTCTAATCACCTTAAAATTATGCCCCCTGGCGATTGTCATTTCGCCCTGGGGAAAAGTCTCTGGCTATCCACTCTTGTCTAAGCCTCTCGTTATCTTGTACACCTCTATAAAATCACCTCTCATCCTTCTTCACTCTAATGAGAAAAGCTCCAGCCCTCTCCACCTTTCCTCATAAGACCTGCCCTCCAGCCCAGGCAGCATCTTGGTAAATTTCCTCTGCCCCTTCTTTAAAGCTTCCACATCCTTCCTATAATGATGCGACCAGAACTGAACACAATATTCCAAGTGTGGTCTAACCATGGTTTTATAGACCTGCAGCATAACCTCGCGGCTCTTAAACTCAATTCCCCTACCAATGAAAGCCAACATACCATACGCCTTCCTTACAACCCTATCGACTCTGGTAGTAACTTTGAGGGTTCTGTGGACAGAGGGATCTGTTCCCTCTGTTCCTCCACATTGCCAAGAATCCTGCCATTAACCCTGTATTCTGCATTCAAATTCGACCTTCCAAAATGAATCACTTCACACTTTGCTGGGTTGAATTCCATCTGCTTCTTCTTTGCCCAGCTCTGCATCCTGTCAATGTCCCGTTGCAACCTACAACAGCCCTCCACGCTATCCACAACTCCGCCAACCTTCATTCCACTGTGGCTTGGATAAGTTTGAGATGTGTAACATAGGTAAATTGCCCAATTCTGCTCCAGTATATTAAGTGTGAAGTTATCCAATTTGGGAGCAAAAACAGGAAGGCACATTATTATCTGAATGGTGATCGATTATGAAAAGAGGAGGTGCAGTGAGACCTGGGTGTTCTTGTACACTAGTCACTGAAAGTAAGTATGCAAGTGTAGTAGGCAGTGAAGAAGGCAAATGGTACGTTGGCCTTCATTGTGAGTGGATTCAAGTACAGGAGCAGGGATGTCTTGCTATTACTGTACAAATGAGACCATTCCTGGAGTATCGTATACAGTTTTGATCTCTATCTGCAGAAGAAAGTGCTGACGATGGAGAGAGTGCAGCAAAGGTTTACCAGACTGATTCCTGGGATGGAAGGACTGACATGAAAAGAGACTGGATCAGTTACAATTATGTTCACCGGACTTGAAATGAAGAAGGATCCAATAGATACACAAAAAATTCTAATAGTCCTAATAGGACTTAAAGGATAAGTGCAGGAAGAACGTTCCCAATGACCGAGGAGTCCAGAATCGGGGATCATAGTATAAGCATACAGCATCAGCCATTTAGGACTGAGATGAGAAATTTCTTCAGCCAGAGAGTCGTGAGCCTGTGGAATTGTCTGCCACAGAAAGCGGTTGGAGCCAAAATATTGAATATTTTCCTGAAGGAGTTAGACATAGTTCCTGGATTATAATTTTCTGGATTATTTCTGTTGCCCTTCTAACACAAAGGAACAACATTAGCTACTCTCCAGTCTTCTGGGACCTTGCCTGTAGCTAGAGAATACAAAGATCTCTGTCAAAGCCCCAATCTCCTCCCTTGCCTCCCCCAGTAACCTGGGATAGATCCCTTCAGGCCATGGGGATTTAGCTACCTTAATGTTTTTCAAGACGCCCAACACTACCTCTTTCTTAATGTTGATTTGGCCTACAATTTCAACATACTCCTTTCTAACATTAGCATCATCCTGCCCTTCTCAGTGAATATCGATGCAAAGTACTCATTAAGGATCTTGTTCACTTCCTCTGACTCCATATATAAATTCCCTTCTTTGTCCTTGAGTGGACCTACCCTTTCCCTAGCCACCCTCTTGCTCCTAATATACGTATAAAATGCCTTGTAATTCTCCTTAATCTGACTTGCTAAAGGCATTTCATAGCCCCTGTTAGCCCTCCTAACTCCTTGTTTAAGTTCATTCTTTCCTTTATATTCCTTAAGGGCCTTGTCTGATTTCAGTTTCATAAACCTTACATCTGTCTCCTTTTTCTTAGAATAAAGTAGTAATATTAACTATTTTCCAATTGAATGGAACTTCTCCAGAATCTGGAGAATGTTGCAAAATTAAAACCAGCTCACTAATTATCTCGCATGCTATATCTTTTTAGCCCCTATGAAGAAGTCACTTTAGAGCTGGGTACTTGTCAGCTTGCAGTTCCAGAATTTGCTCAGTATCATTTATCTAGTGAATTATTTGGAAAAACTCTTACTAACTACTTTTGTATTTCTAGCTAGCTTTTGTACTCGGGCGACTTTTCATTTTTAGTCAAAAGATGTGCGTGTTACACTCTGCATACAACTAAACTGACACTTGTATAACCATCCTCTGGACCTACAAGCCTTGGAGGTTTCTGTGCTCATCCAATTCTGACATCCTGTGTATTCCTATTTTAATTGCTGCACAATTGGCAGCCATTTTTTCAGCTGCCTTGGCCCCAAACTTTGGATTTCTGTAAATCTCTGCAGTTCTTCTACCTTTTCCCCCTCCTTTAAGTTGGTTCTTAAAACTGTTTGTTTGATCAAGCTTTTGGTCACCTGCCCTGATATACCTTTCTGTAGTTCAGTGTTAATTTTTCTTGATAATATTACAAGGTACTTCTGCGCAAAAGCTATTGTCAGCCTGCTCAAATGTACAATGTTTAAGGAACACTGCACTGCAGCAACGTACCAAAAAAATTGCATTTACTCAGCACCTTTTAGAGTTCCAAATGTGCAGCAACATTTCTTTGCAGCCAAAAAAATACAATTGTCACTATTCTGATTGTAACATGCACACATATATCAACTAATTTGTGCTCAGTCAGGTCCCACAAACTATAGCAAGGTAGATGACTAGATAATTTTATTTTTAGTAGCATAAGATGAACTATCAATGTTGCCATGCACAACCTGGCCCTGTTCATTGAGGAGATCAAGCACATCCGCTGAACACACAGTTGGACAGCATTAGTGACTCAGTGTTCTCCTCTAATTCTCACCTCGACCTTGTATATGTTTTCTTTCTTGTGACCGGATCGTATCATCTTCATGATTGGAGCATTGTCAAAAAGGCTGGTGGCATGATTACCTTGGGACAGTCACCAATTGCCAATAAATTGGACCTTGCAGTATCATCTACATCCCATGAAAGATATAAAACCCACTTGTAAAAATAAAATAATTGCGAACTTTTGTACAATTGAGGCTTTTGTGGTTGTTGACTTGCTCACTAAGCTAGCAAGTTCATTTGCAGACATTTCATGACCATGCTAGATAACATCATCAGTGCACCTCCGGTGAAGCATTGGTGTCTTCCCCTTGCTATTTATGTGCCTCGGTTTCTTGGGGTGGGTGGCATCACTTCCGGATTCAT